ATAAAACCTAAGCCGCGTCCCCCAGATCAGCGCGGGGCACACGAGTCTCCATACAGCAAACCCTAAACCCTAACCACGCCGCAATCCCGAACCTCGCCCTCGCCGTCGGGGCTGAAATTGAAACCAGGTCTCGATTCTCAGACCCCGAGGCGGAATTGGCGAAACCTCGGACGGGAGCGCGTGAGCGAGAGCACGGCAGGGGCGAGGAGATCGCGTTACCTGACAGAGGGCGGAGGGGAGGAGGCGGTGGCCGGCAGAGGGTGCGGCGATGAAGCCACGGGAGCCAGCGAGGGGCAGAGAGTATCGGATGGGGCGGAGGAGGAGCGGAAGACGACGGCTGCGGATTTGGTGTGTGTGGGGAGGGTGGGAGGGGAGCTCGTGCGCGACTCGTCCCGCACTAGAACGGAGAGCCGCCCGCGGTCTTCCACGGAGACGGAAATGTCTCGGATCCCGCCCATTGTTGTACTATCACAAGCTCAAAAAAAAAAGGTTGGGTACTATCACAAGCTCAAAAAAAAAGGTTGTGTACTATCAATCTGACGAAAAAAACATATTCATCTCCACGCTCCATGTGTAAATTTTCGTAAAAAAGGATAAGTTTTGTGACCTGTATAAAAAAACTCTAGTGCTTCCAACACTTGCTTTTTAACGCCGAGTAAATTGGAACGGAGGGAGTAGTATATACTCCCTCCGTCCGAAAATACTTATCTAAAATATTGCCTTTTAGAGGCCTAGCTTTTGTTTATTTTGCCCAGAGCACCTCATATATTTTCTTTATAAAATTTTAGTTGTTGTTAAAAGAATCAAGGTTTTTTACTCCCTCCGCGGCAAGTAATATGGATCATAGTAAGTATTATTTGAAAAAAAAAATACTGCTTCTAAAGTTCATCCCGAAAGAAGAAACACCATCACTGTTAGATTTTTTTTCCACGAGAAGCTCATGTAAATGAGGATATTGGATTGTATAGCGAGAGTGTTAGAGGATAATCCATAGATGACCTCGGGCTCATCTGCTCCCTCATAAAACAGTAATGCAAAAAAAGCAAACAAACTCGAAAGATATCACATTGTTTTATTTTTTTGCAAAAAAAATCAGATTAATTATAAAGATTCATCAGAAGCACAAAGCACCTCAAACATAATAAAAATTACATCAAGGTCCATGGACCACCGAACGGTCATTGCCGCGCCAGAACGAGCCGTCGACGCACCACTGTCGCCGCTCCCATATTGGAGCCGGCCTGGCCTTATTGATAGCAGTCGGGAAGTCTTCGTGCACGTGCCCCTAAGGGCCAACACCCTGGAGCCGTAGTTGTCGACTTGTCGTCATTGAAAGCCTTGAATCGATCTGAAGAACTTGACCAAAAATCTCGTCGTCGCGTATGCACGGTCAGAAATCCTAACCTCACCGCCCCAAATAGCTGGGAGGAATCTACAAAGCTCCGTCTAATCCATCCCAACAGACAAACTTGAGGAGGATCGGAGCCCGAAAGACTGATTTGAAGAAGGAGTGTTGTCATCCGTCCAAACGCCGTCCCTACGAGCACTAAAACCCTACCTATCTACTAGCCGGAGTCGAGCCACCAGGAATCTGCTCCCCGTTACAGGCCGCCGGAGCGGCAAGAAGAGGGGAGGCGAACTCATAGGCTCGCCGACAACGATGAAGGGAAAGAAGACTTTTTCCCAAGTTGCCTTGGGAAAGAGGAAAGAAAAGCTACATATCTGTTCGGGCCTGCTAGGAGCTGCAAATTTGCTTGCTAAAATGACATTCGAGGTGGTAGTTAAAAAAAATCAGAACCTGGTGTCCCAAATGCCTATTTTTTAAGTTCCATTGGGAGCTGTTTTTTTTCTAGAGCTCCTGGAATGTCCAAGTCATTTTTTATGTTGCGAAAAACTTCCAATCTATTCATCATCAATCATGGCGGGTACAACGAACACCAGAAATAATAAAAATTATATTCAGGTCCATAGACCACCTAGCGACGACTACAAGCACTGAAGCGAGCCGAAGGCGCGCCGCTGTCATTGCCCCTCCCTCGCCGGAGTCGGGCACAATTATAGTAGACAGTCAGGAAGTCGTCGTGCTAAGGCCCCATAGGACCAGCGCACCAGAATAGCAACCGACGCCGATGAAGGATAACGTAGATCGAAAGGATTCAATCCGAAGACACACGAACATAGACAAAAAACAACTAGATCCGAGCAAATCCACCGAGGATAGATCCGCCGAAGACACACCTCCACACGCCCACCAACGATGCTAGACGCACCACTGGAACGGGGGCTAGGTGGGGAGACCTTTATTCCATCTTCAGGAAGCCGCCACCGTCTCGTCTTCCTGAACAGGACACAAACTCTAACAAATCTGAAAGGAACGACTAACAACAGAGCCCTCTCGCCGGCCCTTACCAGGATCCACCTCGCCTCCATGGCCCTAGGGCCTTCGGAGACGAGGCAGACCTGCGGCGAGCCGGCGAGAGGCACAAAACCTAGCTTTTTTGGTGCAGGAGGAGGAGGAGGCGGCGGCTGACAATGTCCAAGTCATTTGTCCATGAAATTTTGCCCCCTCCGCATACTCAAGCATCTTCTGTGCCAAAAAAAATTCAGATTTTTCTGATTTGTTTTTCTATTTTTTAATGTACTGTTTATGCCGGGTGCAAATACAGCCAAGCACCAAAACACGGCCCTCTTTATCAGCAAAATCCTAAAAATAGTACAAGTATATTGGAAACACATGGTTGAGTGTTCTACCTATGTGCAAATATATGTGAAAGAAATAACATTCGTGGTTGCCTTCCAACAAACAAGAAAACAAAAATGGTACTCCAAAATGCCCCTTTTTATAGCATCGTTTTTATTTTAAACTGCTTGATCAGTTGCTCTTGCGTTTTGTCGAGCACGTTTTCATCTCAATCCATGCAACTATCTCACTCATGGACCAATTGATGGATAAACCCGCACATTTTCGTGAGGTTAGGAGGTTAAGCATAGTGGAGATGTTTCGAGAGAGGTGCTTGGGTTAGAGCATCTACAACCAGGTGCCCCATTTAGGGCCGCACATATCAGCGCGCCAAGAAGAGGGCGGTGCAGGCCGCCAACCGCTCCAAGTGCGAGTCCTGCAGATTCCTTTGGTTCCACTCCTTTGTTGTTGAGAGTTTTGCATTGGTCTATTTTGTTCTTCACTGCCTTAACCTCTGGATCTTTTTCACTCGCCTTTATCTTTTGAGAGGCCTTTTTTTTTACAGGAAAAACTCTCAATCTATTCATCTTCAATCATGATAGTACAAAGAACACTAGAATAATAAAAATTACATACAGATTCATAGACCACCTACCGACGACTACAAGCACTGAAGCGGGAAGACGCGCCGCTTATTATTGCCCCTCCCTCGCCAGAGTCGAGCAAACCTTGTTCGTGCTAAGGCCCATAGGACCAACGCACCAAAACAACACTTCCGCGGATGAAGAGTGTAGATCAAAATGATCTAACCTCAAGACACACGAACAAAGACGAACGACGAACAGATCCGAGCAAATTAATCCACCAAAGACAGATCCGCCGGAGACACACCTCCACACGCCCACCGATGATGCTAGATGCATCACCGAAACAAGGAGCCGCAGTCTCGACTTCCTGACCAAGATACAAACCCTAACAAAGCTCGAAAAAAATCTAAAAACGGAGCCCTCCCACCGGCCAGGTCCGAGATCCACTCCGTCTCCATGGCCCTAAGGCCACCAAAGACAGGACGGACCGGCGCTGGCAGGCGGCAGAGAACTCTAGCTGTTTGGGAGGCGGCCGCTGGCTAGGTCGCGTTAAACATCGCCTTTCATCTTCTGTGGGGCCTTCAGCAGGTTTATTTTTATTTTTTTAGAAACAAAGTCAAAAGATTTGCATCTGAATTGCTTCTTCCGCGGCTCCGAGCTCCGGTGCCCTTGCAACCCATGGTCATTTCTTGTTGTCATGCTGTTGGGCTCCCATTGGCAATGCACCGCAAGGCCTAGCTCTACTTGTTTGTATACAAGCCTTCATTATGTCAGCAACCTAGCTTCAACGCATGGTCATTTCTTATGTGATGTCAGCAACCTTGTTGTCATGCTTGTATGTTCCTCCCTTTACTAATCCCTCTGTCCATAATATAAGACTTCATATCTGCCATAATACTTTCTCTAGGTTGCTGACATCATTTGTTCATCAATATGTTAGCAAAACAGCCTACAATTCATCCAAGAAATACAATGATACAGAAACCAGGGGCACACGCGCACACACACATATCAAAAGACACATGGTACCAAAGGTTTATTTCAGAATTCCTAGCCGAACCAGTGAGCCCATCTGTTTGCGTAAGAACACGGGTTACCGGAAGGATTTTTTTCAACTCAAAATAGTTGGACAGAGATAAAACGGAGAAGGATGATACATGTAGGCCGACACATTCTCAAAGCGAAATATCTGGGCCCATCAGTCGCTCCTCGGCTAACTCCTTGAGCCTCTGAGTCACCTTTTCAGCAACACGCAGGTAGGCTTGCGCCGATGCAGAGTTCGGTGACGATATCACAATTGGCTTGCCTTCGTCCGAACCAGTTCGG